TTTAAAAGGCCGGCAATGCACCCGTGGCTCTGGTGTTGCGGGTGGCGGCGATGATCGCTTACCATCAGGCGATCCGTCTGCTCGTTTGCCTATTTCATAAAAAAAAACCACAAAGGGCCGTGAACCCATGCAAACGATCCAAAAGTTAAATCTAGGCTATACATCTACTGGGTGCCCTCAAAGAACACCAATTGGGAACTTTTTAGAGAAATTGTAGAAAATACACTGGACGAACGCGTTCCTCTCAAATCAGACGAGGACATTACAGCAGCAGTTGAGATCTTTAACCAATGCGTCCAATGGGCTGCTTGGGATGCCACTCCGGTAAAACAATACCAAAAAACAAAACGCAAGCGTTGTATTTCGTTGCGTGAGTGAGGTTACCGAAGGTCTAATTAACCCCCTCCCTTCTCCAATCTCCCCAATAATCCTAAAACTAATCCCCAAAAGGCCGGTAACGCACTTGTAACGCCTCTGGTGTTCCAGGTGTCCAAGGGCGACGCCGATTGCTTACCATCAGGTGATCCATCTGCTCGTTTACCGGCTTATGCCATAAAAAATCTCCACTTTTGTCAATTGGTGATCTTAATTCAGCATTCTGTATTGTGTTTTCATCCATCGTCACCGGTCCCACCTTTCTAAGGTAAGGTAAAGCGAGGTAGCTTGGGGATCGCACTTTAGGTCACCGACACTGAATTTCATGGTTGTCGCAGTGGCTTTTTTTAAGGGGGGAAAATCATCGAATGTTTTCTCCCGCCCGGGTGAGGTGGGAGGGAGTGTCAGACTCTTACTAACTAAAAACCACTCTGTTCCTACTCCTGCACTTCAAGCTGGAGCGCCGGTAACCCGTTAAGTTCTCCGCGGCTCCGTATCGGCATCAGCCCTGTTGGGCCCCATCTGTGGTGGTCTGATGGCTCTTTGAGGCTCGGGCAGAACGCGACGCGCCCCACGCTAGTGTCTGGTTCTGGTCGTCGGGAGTGTCCTTCGCTATGTCTGGGTTGGGTCATGCGCCTCACCTCCTTACCTAGCATTTCTGCTTCTCAAAAGGAGGAGACGGTATCCCAGTCCACTCGCTCCGCACCATGTCCCGCACTAGGGCCGGACACGAGAGGTCGCCGTCGCCGATCACTTCCCTGAGGGCACGGCGGTGCTCAGCCCACGCAGGGCATTCCCCCACTGTGTGTTCCACCGTGTCGTCAGGGCGGTCCTCGCAGTGACGACACATGGGCGTTTCCTCCCGTTTATTAGACACAGGTACCTCCCGAAGCTCCCATGTCCGGTGAGGACCTGCGTCAGGCGGTAGGTGAGGATGCCGTAGCGTCTCTCAAGCCACGCCTCAAAGAGGGGACTTACCGCTGTAATGGCAGCGAGCCCAGTCGCAGTAGCTGGGGGAACATTATTTTTATATATTTGATTAGCTACCGTTTGACCACTATCTCGCCTGGTGGTAAGCGATGATGGGGTCTACGATGGAGCACGTCGTCCCATAAGCATAACTAATCTGTACAATGTTTCGCATATTCGATTCCCACTTGGATCAATTATTTATGTGACCCACAAATTGCTGTTCCGTGTCTGGGTGAGATGAGACGTGTATGTGAAATTATAATTATGTGGTCAGGTAAAAAATAAAATAAAAATCAATTTCATAGAGAAATTTTTATATTTATTTACAAAATTAATAAAAAATGACATTTAATACTACAAAGTATAAATGCTGCATAATAAATTATACAAAACAATAATTCGACAATACTGTTAACAACTCGATAATCGAACTTAGACTACGTGCTAGTCAGTCGTGTTTTCGACCACTACAATCATTTAATTTTTGCTTACTAAAGATGGCACGACACGGCGAAATATAACGCAAGCGTTGGTTCACGCCGGCGTGCTGTAATCATCATCAACAGCCTATAAATGCCCACTGCTGAGCAAAGCCTCTTCTCACACGTAGAAGGTTAGAGCATTAATCACCACGCTTGCTCAATGCGGGTTGGCGATTTCAAACTTATAATTAGAAATTATAAGTCCAGGTTTCCTCACGATGTTTTTCCTTCACCGTTTGTCAGTGGTGTCTAAATAATCTTAGAAAGTACATATAACTCGGAAAAAGTCACATTGGTACTTGCCGTTGGTAGGTTTCGAACCCGCACCCTTATGCATGAGAAGTGGGCGTTTTAAACCTCCGGGCCACCACGACGGGCGTGCTGTAATGCCGTGGTATAACTCCAGTAGAATCGACAGCAGTGCTAAACCTTAGCGCAATGGCTGTCCCATACTTATGTCCGTTATCAGAACCAATATACAATATTTAATGAACCCCTAAGCCCCTAAGCCCCTAACCAATAAGTGAGAATTAAAAACATTTTGATTTTCACTAACCTGAAGTTTCACCTATTAGTAAAGTATAGGGTTGATTTAGGTGCTTCCTCAAGTTAAGTAACTCTTAGTTAGGGGATGTTATCTCGAGTAAGCAAATATTAAGATGGATAGGTTTTGGAAACAAGCCTTTTTAGAAATCTATTTCGTTTTCGTCCCGCGGCGAAACATCTTGCCATAAGCAGTACTTTCGATGTATAAAGTAAACACAAAAAAATAAAGATGTCATTTGTCTTTTAGTTTAAAAAAAATTTTCATGGAAATACGCACATGAAACACTAGACGTACATTTGTAGTCACTATTCGCATCGCACGTGCCACCCGACGAGAAATACGTCTTCGACAATGACACGGCGTGATGTTTTGATAATATACTGTGAGTTCGTATGCGCTGTCGAAGTTTGCTTCTTGCAATGGTTCACCGGTTGTTTTTATTTGTTTGTAAAACTATTGTATTACCGAGACAGAACCATTTTACTTCGGGACGAAAACCAAATAGATTTCACGGTGTATAAATCGTTTACCTTATATCTTATATATATATAATTATATTACAATATTAATATACACAACCTTTTTTTATTTTGAGTCGAGACGATATTTATTTACTTCTTTAGCTTCTATCACATTCATACATCTGATGGTATACAGAAACTACAGAGCGACACCTACTACGCTCCTTACATACTTCTTTAGCTTCCATCACATTCATACATCTGATGGTATACAGAAACTACAGAGCGCCACCTACTACGCTCCTTACATACTTCTTTAGCTTCCATCACATTCGTACATCTGATGGTATACAGAAACTACAGAGCGCCACCTACTACGCTCCTTACATACTTCTTTAGCTTCCATCACATTCATACATCTGATGGTACACAGAAACTACAGAGCGCCACCTACTACGCTCCTTACATACTTCTTTAGCTTCCATCACATTCATACATCTGATGGTATACAGAAACTACAGAGCGCCACCTACTACGCTCCTTACATACTTCTTTAGTTTCCATCATAATATATATTATTATAATTAACAAATAATACACAAAAATATATTTACATGAAACGGTTTCAATGAGTTCTATTCTACCAATCAAGCCCTGTCGTTTGATATCCATAATGGAGGTAGTTGTGGAAACAATTAGATTAATATATTGTATGGTCATTAAGATTAAGAGTGTGTACCAAATATCAGATCGATCTGTCGCCAGGAAGAGGGTGAAATTACAATTACTACAGACCCAGACAAACACACGGGGCAAGCTAAATGAAACCGTTTATAATGACTTACATATTACATTTTGTATACAGTACTTTTAACAACACATAACATCACGCCTTTTATCCCCGAAGGGATGGGCAGAGGTGCACATTACGGTACTTAAACTGTCAAACACCAAGCGGTCACCGGTGACCGCGACCTATTGTTCTTTAATTGTGTCTATAAAACCGGTACTCGACGAGTTAATGCCACTGCACAATGTACCACTGTACATTCATTAATCTATATATGTATAATATCACGCTAAAGCACTAAGGAACAAGGCAGACTATTGCAATAATTAAAATATACGTAAATAACATACTTTTTTATGACAATACTAAATAATATTAGCCTCTCCCAGCGGCTTAACTCGCATTCGAGGATAAAAAGTAGCCTATGTGTTATTCCATATCATAATCTACCCCTGTTCTAAGTTGCATGCCGATCCGTTCAGCCGTTTTGACGTGATTGAGTAACAAACAAACACACATACAAATGTCGTATCACCACATTACATAGTATAAAACAAAGTCGCTATCCGCCATCTGTCTGTCCCTATGTATGCTTCGATCTTTAAAACTACGCAACGGATTTTGATGCGGTTTATTTTAATAGATAGAGTGATTCTTAAGGAAGGTTTATATGTATAATACATGCATACTGCACCCGTGCGAAGCCGGGACGGGTCGCTAGTTGATAATATTAAAAATATTATAAAGCTATCGAGTTTGTTTGAGCGCGCCAATCTCCGAAACTACTGGTCCAAATTTAATAATTCGCTCTATGTTGGATAGTGCATTTATCAAGGAAGGCTATTTTACTATATAAATGTGATGTTTGTCTGTATGTTTGTTACTCAACCACGTCAAAACTGCTGGGCTGAAGCTGAAGGGACTGGGATGAAATTTGCAACAGAGATAGATTAAATTAGAATAGAATTAGACAGAACCGACTGCACGGTGGGCAACCAGCTGCCGTGAATCGGGTCGCTTCGATTCCCGCACGGAACAACACTTTGTGTGATCCACAGATTGTTGTTCCGGGTCTGGGTGTCATGTGTATGTGAACTTGTATGTTTGTAAACGCACCCACGACACAGGAGAAAATCCTAATGTTTTCCCAAGGTTTAAAAAAAAATATGGTCTTGTTTTTTTTTAAGGGGGGAAAATCATCGAATAACTGCTCCCGCCTGGGTAAGACGGGAGGGAGTGTCAGACTCTTACTGACTAAAAACCACCCCGTTCCTTCTCCTGCACGTCGAGGCGGAGCCCCGGTAACCCGTTAGGTTCTCAGCGACAACACATAGGCTACTGTTTATCCCACGCGATAGGAACTAGTTTAAACATTATTGTGGGACCAACCTAATAACGTTTGGAGGCTCATAAAGGCTATGTGTCAACCTGACATGTTTGACAGCATAATATTTGCATTTATACGACCGAGCGCATATTAAACAGCTGTAATACGCCTTGCTATGACAAGTCAATTTGTGCATATGTAAATTATTGTTAGCTTTGAAAGATGCCGGGCAGAGCTCGCACTGTGGAAAGAGAAATAGTCATTTTAGTAGATATATTTATTATTAAATCTGCAGACTGTGTGGTGTGGGAGAGCCATGCTTCGGCACGAATGGGCCGGCTCGACCGGAGTGATACCACGGCCGAGCAGAAAACCATAGTAAAACAACGCTTGCGTTGTGTGAGTGAGGTTTCCGGAGGCCCAATTACCCCCCCTTTTTCCCCAATTCTCGAATTTCCAACAATCATCAAATTCCCTATCCCGAAAAGGCCGGTAACGCACTCGTAACGCCTCTCGTGTTCCAGGTGTCCATGGGCGACGCCGATTGCTTACCATCAAGTGATCCGTCTGATCGTTTACCGGCTTATGCCACAAAAAAAAAAACGACAACACAAAATAACTTAGTTGCGTTGTTGTCCTGTAATAATAGGTATAGATAAATAACCTAGATACCGACTGCAGCGCCATCTGCCGGGCTGATTTGAAAAAAATTCATTCATCAAAATCGGTCCAGTCGTTTGAGAGAATTTCAGTGACATACACACTCACAGAAGAATCCTTATCCTTACTTATATTATAAACTAGCTTTTGCCCGCGACTTCGTCCGCTTGGAATAGTGACTTCCGGCAGATTTTTGGTTTTTCCCACATAGTTCCCGTTTTTGCGGGATTTTCGGAATGGTCGAGTTCCCGCAGAATTTTCAGGATAAAACCCATGTTTTTTGTTTTTTTCGAGTTCCAAACTATATTTGTACAATTTTTAAAGTAAAGTAAATTATTTTAAAGAACTTCTGCATATACTACATTTTTTGTTTTATTATCTTGTGGCAGAAGAACATGTTGATTTTCGCCACAACCCGATCTTGATAACGCGACATATAACTGGCCGTGCGAAAAACAGTCTTGGCGTAAATCGATCCCCACGTGTTTGAATGTTTGCCCCTGTGATTTATTTATTGTGACTGCGAAAGATAATTTAAGCGGAAATTGCATTCTTTTAAAATTGAAAGGTAAGTCGTTGGGTATCATTGGGATGCGGGGTATGAGGACTGTTTGACCAACTGCTGGACCAGTCAAAACTATTGCAACGATGACGTTATTGCGCAGAAATTTTACTTGAAGTCAGGTCCTGTTGCATAAAGGACAATGCCAGGTGCTCAGTACATCTTTGACCCACTATATTAGAAGTCATGGACAAGTATGCAGTATTCAGCATCGTGTTGTGTATTAATTACAGATACCTAAACATTTGTCCTGAAACCTGTAAAACTTGCGTTTTTGTTTAAAACACAAAGCAATAATGATAAATAACACGAAAATAACGGAAACGCAGATAGCGAATGAAAGATAATATTGACACTGACAGCTGACAGCTGACGAGCGCTTCAAAACGTTTCGTTACACAAAAAAATCATAACTAATGATAGTAATCGTTTCTTTTATATTTTCGTAATTTCATCTGTAATTATTAATAAACTAGCTTCTGCCAGCGGCTTCGCCCGCGATCCCAGGGGTAAAATGCTTATGTATCACTTCAGACCATAATCTACCTCTGTTCCGAATTTCATTCCGGTCCCTTCAGTCGTTTTAATATGACTGAGTAACAAACATACACATAAACTCACATATTTTCATTTATAATATCGAGTCAAGCTAATTTCAACCATTGGCCTTTCAGATACAGCGTAAAGTCTATGAATGAGTATTGTAAACGTTAGAGTAGACAAATACAATCAGAAATCACCGAATTGCTAAGCTATCGGAAGTTTCACGTGTTATTGTGAGTCAACCAAAAAATAGACATATGCTGTCGAGGAATATTTTTATAAATTTTAAGGAGAATATTTCCGTCATACATGATTCTATGCAGCTTTAACCTATAAGCCTGCACACGCGACGGAAGCTTAAAAAATGGAGTAACTTCTCCCGTTTTCCCAATATTTCCCTTCACTGCTCTGCTCCTATTGATCGTAGCGTAATGAAAAGTATACTATAACCTGCCCAAGAGTATGAAGAATAATTGTGCCAAATTTCGTTAAAATCCATCGAGTAGTTTTTGTTTCCATAACGAACATACAGACAGACAGACAGACAGACAAAAATTTTACTGATTGCATTTTTGGCATCAGTAGCGATCCCTAACCACCCCTTGATAGTTATTTTTTAAATATATTTTATGTACAGAATTGACCTCTCTACAGATTTATTATAAGTATAGATAGAAGATAGATAAATAAATATTATACATAATTATACTTTTGATATTATATTTTATGTATAATGATATCTTTATTTACAGTTACTTACTTTTTTATTTTCATAGTTTCGTACAAGCGATGCGTATGATGTAACGCAAATAGTCATTAGACAATATGGAATACGCATTGCAAAACAGTATTTCCGGTGTGGCGACGCATGCCACATGTCAACGGATGACATCACAAGAATCCTACATCGCACATGCAAAGTTTACAAGCGAATAAACACGGATAGAAAATCCCAACGAACAACTGTTGGGCAGAAAGCCCGCCAGGCACGATCACCTCGCCTGGTCGGAGGATCCTCCTTTTCCGATCTTAGGGAACTATACTCTCTGTTCCCTAAACCGGGATTGGACTTCTTTTTTTATTAAATTGTAAACCGCAAGTTTAAAAATAAAAAAAATTATTGTGAAAAGGTTCCCCATTCGTCAAAATTATTTTCATCAATTTACTTTTTTTGTAAATGCTAGTATGTCTGGGTCAGGATTAGGTTTGAGATTTCTTTTAAAGTTTTTTGTTGAAATTAAGTTATGTCAAAGACAATTTTATTCACAACTAGCTTCTGCCAGCAGCTTCCCGGCGGCCCCAGGGGTAAAATGCCTATGTATCACTTCAGACCATAATCTACATCTGTTCCGAACTTTATTCCGGTCCCTTCACTCGTTTTAAAATGACTGAGTAACAAACATACACATAAACTCACATATTTTCATTTATAATATCGAGTCAAGCTAATTTCAACCAATGGCCTTTCAGTTACAGCGTAAAGTCTATGAATGAGTATTGTAAACGTTAGAGTAGACAAATAGAGGTACAATCAGAAATCACCGAATTGCTAAGCTATCTGGAGTTTCACGTGTTATTGTGAGTCAACCATAAAAGATAGACATATGCTGTCGAGGAATATTTGTTATATAATTTTAAGGAGAATATTTCCGTCATACATGATTTCTATGCAGCTTTAACCTATAAGCCTGCACACGCGACGGAAGTTTAAAAAATGGAGTAACTTCTCCCGTTTTCCCAATATTTCCCTTCACTGCTCTGCTAGCGTAATGAAAAGTATACTATAACCTGCCCAAGAGTATGAAGAATAATTGTGCCAAATTTCGTTAAAATCCATCAAGTAGTTTTTGTTTCCATAACGAACATACAGACAGACAGACAAAAATTTTACTGATTGCATTTTTGGCATCAGTAGCGATCCCTAACCACCCCTTGATAGTTATTTTTTAAATATATTTTATGTACAGAATTTACCTCTCTACAGATTTATTATAAGTATAGATCAGAAAGTGAGTTTGTTTATTTGTTTGTTCCGCTTTCACGACGTAAAGTTAGAAGTCTGGATTAAATAATAGGGTACATTTTAACCCGGAAAAATTTGATATTTCCGAGGGAAAACAACAATATTGGTATAGATGGCGCTGTGTGTATTGGTATATGTCACATAGGCTATTTTTTATCCTTTTGTGACGCGAGCGAAACCGCGGGTAAAAGCTTTTTTTTTTTTTTTTTTAAACGTTGCCCCACACTAGGATTTTCTCCTGTGTCGTGGGTGCGTTTACAAACATACAAGTTCACATACACAATGACACCCAGACCCGAAACAACAATTTGTGGATCACACAAAGTGTTGTCCCGTGCGGGAATCGAACCCGCGACACGTTGCACGGCAGCCGGTTGCCCCGCCACCGCACCAACCGTGCAGTCAAAGTTATATGTATAAAGAAGATAATATATACACTGCCGGCCAAAAGTTTGAGACCACCCTTATCAAAGAATGAAAATGAAATAAAACTAAAATAAAATACAAAGCAAGAGTTTTAATTGATAATTAACATACTTATACATACTTATACATTCTTCCTACACATACTTCAAGAAAAAAAATATAATAATTTTCATTAAAAATGCTGTTAATATTTAAACAGATTTTTCATCAAAAAACCCTCCCTTGCATTTTATTATTTTTTTACTAGTCTTGGCATGCGAGCAATCAATTTGTCGATTGTTTCTTGTGAAATATTGTTCCAGCTTTCTTGTAAAGTCTTCCACATGTCTTCTTGCGAGGAGGGGCAACAACTGCGTACATTTCTATCAAGCTCTTCCCATAAAAGCTCGATCGGGTTGAGATCCGGGCTCTGAGGGGGCCACACCATGTTTTTTAACACCCTTTCTGTTTCTTTATGTTCTAAGTAACTCCTGCATAATTTTGAACTATGTTTAGGATCATTATCTTGTTGGAAAAAAAAACCATTTCCAATTAATCTTACACCAGACGGAACGGCATTTTGTTGTAGTATTCGTTTATATTGCTCCTTTTTCATGATTCCTTCAACTCGTACCAAATCTCCGGTTCCATAGCCCGAGAAGCATCCCCAGACCATAATGGAACCACCACCATGTTTGACGGTTGGCACCACACAGTCTGGCATCATCTTTTCCTCGGCGCTACGTCGAACAAAAATTCGTCTTTTTGATCCAAATATTTCAAATTTGGATTCATCTGTCCAAAGAACTTTTTTAAAGTCTTCTTCGGTCCAGTCTCGATGGGTAAGGGCCCACTGCATCCGTTTCTTTTTGTTTTGTGGCCTAAGTAGTGGTTTTCGAACGGCAACGCGACCAAACAAGTTAGCATCTCTCAATCGTCTTTTTACTGTAGTCAGTGACACAGGTTTAGATCGGGATTTGTTCACTTCTGCGCGGATTTGTGGTGCTGTTAGGCGTCTATTGCGCTTGCTGGTAACGACGATAAAAATATCCTCGCTAGAAGTGGTAGCTTTCGGCCTTCCCGATCGCGAACGATCTCGATAACTGCCAGTCTCCTTGTATCGGGCTATTGTGTTATGAACACAAGTCTTTGACAAATTAAGTTGAGAGGCAATCGCACGTTCAGATTTGCCTTCGTTGTGTAAAACAACTATGGCACAACGAGTTTCACTGCTAATTTCGCGCACTTTACCCATTTTAATGTTTTTACTTTAACAATGACGAGCTCAGACTAACCAAGATTTAACTTTATAAAAACTCAGGTAAAAAATATGTTTTAGTAAGCTAAAATAATCCTGAATTTCTTTTAAGCTGAAACAAAACCAAAATTATTAGTAATGAGCAGCTCATAAAAATATTGCAATGACTCTACCACCTGGTCTGTGCGCGGCACTCATTAATGTTTTTTAAAAATAGGCTTTTACAGCATCGTAACTTAAAAATACACAACAAGAATGACTCTTTGATTTTCTTTAATAACAATAGAATATGCAAGTATTCAAATTAGCTCTTTATCATACGCACTTTTGAAATATTTTGTCGGTAAAGAAGATTTTTACAAGTGGTCTCAAACTTTTGGCCGGCAGTGTACCTTGACAGTTTTCTCAGCTCGATGCGAATGTTTGTGTTGGACGAGTAAGTACGAAGCGTGGAACTTGGCGCCACACGTCTCGCATACGTACGGCTTCTCGCCGCGGTGGCGACGCTCGTGGTTCTAGAATTGGAATTTTATTCAAAGACAGAGAAATTCACTTACAATTGTCGATAACTTCTTCTATTTTTTGTACATACATACATACATAACCTAACGATTGTCTCCTATGATGGTAGGCTAGACTATAGAACGCCAATTGCTACGATTCCTACATACCTACCTCTTTCGCTTCATCAACAGTTATCAGTCAAAATGATTTATTTATTTATTTACACATAACACACAAATATCCTTACAGGTTAGACCCAATGCGACATTGCAGCAAATATTAAAATAACAATAATAAACAAAATATAGAATATATAATAAGTTCAAGAATCCTTACTATCCTTACTTCCTTACTAATATTATAAATCTGAAAGTGAGTTTGTTTGTTTGTTTGTTTGTTCCACCTTCACGTCGTAACTACTCAACCGATTGCTTTGAATTTTTGCAGACGTAAAGTTAGAAGTCTGGATTAAATAATAGGATACTTTTTATCCAAAAAAAAATGATATTCCCGAGGGAAAACAAAAGCATTGGTATAGATGGCGCTGTATGTATTGGTATATGTCACATAGGCTACTTTTTATCCTTTTGTGACGCGAGCGAAGCCGCGGGTAAAAGCTAGTATATAATAAGCTTATATGATATAACTTAATGGCCACAAAATTGTAAATTAGTTATCTAATAAGGTTTTAATGAATAATTTTGTATAGAACTAGAACTAATAGAACTAATAAACTACCAGTACTAATGATAGTTATTTTTTGCTTTTTAGTTTTGACCTTTTGTTTGTTATTAGTTTTTGGTTTTTGAAGTCGGTTTTTTTAAACGCAGTTTTTTGTCACAGTAAAAACTGGACAAAAACTATATCAGGTCGAGTGAGTGTATAGCTGATGTCACGAGTGTCCTGCAGTGTCTCATGACTTTCATAGGCTGTGTCGTTAGTGTCGCGAGGTATTATTTTTAAGGGGGGAAAATCATCCAATGACTCTCCCGTCTATAAGTACCTAAGTAGTGTAAATTAGTTATTAACTCGTCGAGTACCGGTTTTATAGACACAATTAAAGAACAATAGGTCGCGGTCACCGGTGACCGCTTGGTGTTTGACAGTTTAAGATGCTCAATTAAAGTTATTCGTAAGAACAACGCGTCTCGCGAATATACTAAAACTAAAATATCAATAAAGGTACATTGACAGTGATTCGGAAAATAGGGTAGTTTCCTAAATTTTATTATGTCCGTCTGGTACATTAATTTAAAACTTTAGACACGTATTTTTTCTTTTCTCACAAAATTAAATACTTTCGACGATATGTTAATTTGAAACATCGTGTGACGTCACAGCGTGCCACATTTTGTAGCACGTTATGACGTAACGACCTCCCACTCCTAAACTTAGCGCCATTTTATCTAAGTATTGCAACTTAATACGAGAAAATAAAAATACGTGTTTAATATTTTTTCATTATCTAACTGACGGACTAATAAGATTTTTAATTTTGATACCCTGGACACTACCCAATTCCATTATATGACAGTGGACCGCCGGATATAGGTTATGTTATGAAATACCGTGAGTTTAAGTGTCTACTTGTTGCCGACTGTCTTGAGTGTCACGCAAAGAGCGGTAATTGGCATCAGTATTATGCGCTGTGTATTGATTGTTGCGGACTGTATTTAGTATCATGAGTGTCTATAGTCAGAATTTTAATTAGATTCCAGATTTGACAATAGCTACTGTCATTTTGTGAAATAATGATACCACATATAATAGTGTAGTGATGCACACAAAAATCGATAAACAATCAGTGTGTGTGTTTTATAATAAATGTTACAGAAAGTGACAGAATAGCGATAGCGATGACGGCGACAATTTATAAAATAACTTATTACCATAATACATCTATCTGTTATATTTGTTATATTCCTTCATGATTATATTTTTTTATTTATTTCACACACATTTATAAAAGAAAAGTCTCAGATCGTTAATTAATCGTCAAAACTAAATTATCGGTTCAGAAATATTTAATTTCCTGATATACTTAGTTTACGAAAGTAAAATTATAAACGAGAAGAATCGATCCAGAAATATTGCATTTCCATATCAAATAATTTCGCAACGTCACTATTTAGTACTTGTCATAACATTGCAATACTGAAATTGTCAAATCTGGAATCGAATTAAAATTCCGAGTATAGTGCTGTTTCAAATGTGTGAACGGATCTTGTTGTGTCATGACTGTCGGCGTTAGTGTCTTGAGTGTATAAACTTAAACTCACGGTATTTCATAACATAACCTATATCAGGCGGTCCACTGTCATATAATAGAATTGGGTAGTTTCCAGGGTATCAAAATTAAAAATCTAATTAGTCCGTCAGTTAGATAATAAAAAAATATTAGACACGTATTTTTTTATTTTCTCGTATTAAGTTGCAATACTTAGATAAAATGGCGCTAAGTTTAGGGGTGGGAGGTCGTTACGTCATAACGTGCTACAAAATGTGACACGCTGTGACGTCATTCTGTGTAAGAAGTGTCTGATAATGTACTCACCCGCATGGCCATGATCCCAGCGCTCTGGAAGTCGCAGTAACTACACTTGAACTTCTCATATCCATGCTTCGCTCTATAATGCTCGTTTAGACGGAACTTATTGCCGAAACTCTTGCCGCAGTGCTGTAGACAATATCGAACCTTGTCTTTATATAAATAGAGTTGCATTTCATATATACACAGGCTATGACAGTCCATTGTATTCGTTTCAGTAATATTTATACATAAGCCCAGGTTTCGTCACGATGTTATTCCTTCACCGTTTGTCAGTGGTGTCTGAATAATCTTAGACATAACATCACGCCTTTTATCCCTGAAGGGGTAAGCAGAGGTGCACATTATAGTACTGTACAACGTAACACCCACTTTTCACTATTTATGTTATGAGTCCCATGTAATAGGGGGTGAGCCTATTGCCATATACCGGGCACAACCAGACTCCGTGTTACTACTAAGATTATTAAAAAAACCCAGTAATACTTTGCCCGACCCGGGAATCGAACTCGAGACCCCTTGCCCGGTAGCCACACTTGCGACCACTCGGCCAACGAGGCAGAGGAATGGGCTTATAATTTCTAATTAATCGCCAACCCGCATTGAGCAAGCGAGGTGATTAATGCTCAAATCCCCGTGGGAGAAGAGGCCTTTGGTTAGCAGTGGGGACTTATAGGCTTGTGGATGATAAGCACTCACCTCGCACACAGGTCTCAGTCCAGCATGTTTAACAGCTTTGTGCTTCTGTAAGCTCGCTTGCTGCATCTTCACCTTGCATATGTCACATTCTGATATTTTTCGAGCCTGCAATTAAAGGTTAGTTCTAAGAAGCGGTAGTCAACGTTCATAGCGCTTAGCTGCACTGACAGATAGACGGACAAACATCCAAGCAAAGAAACTTTCACATTTACATTTTTTTAATGTTGCCCCACATTAGCATTTTTTTAACGTTGCCCCACATTATAATTTATTTTAACGTTGCCCCACATTATAATTTATTTTAACGTTGCCCCACATTATAATTTATTTTAACGTTGCCCCACATTAGTATTTTTGAACGTTGCCCCACATTAGCATTTTTTAACGTTGCCCCACATTAGCATTTTTTAACATTGCCCCACATTAGCATTTTTTAACGTTGCCCCACTTAAGCATTTTTTAACATTGCCCCACATTAGCATTTTTTAACGTTGCCCCACATTAGCATTTTTTAACGTTGCCCCACATTAGCATTTTTTTAACGTTGCCCCACATTAGCATTTTTTAACGTTGCCCCACATTAGCATTTTTTAACGTTGCCCCACTTTAGCATTTTTTTAACATTGCCCCACATTAGCATTTTTTTTAACATTGCCCCACATTAGCATTTTTTTAACGTTGCCCCACATTAGCATTTTTTAACGTTGCCCCACTTTAGCATTTTTTTAACATTGCCCCACATTAGCATTTTTTTTAACGTTGCCCCACATTAGCATTTTTTTTAACATTGCCCCACATTAGCATTTTTTTAACGTTGCCCCACATTAAGACTTTTCCTGTGTCGTGGGTGCGTTTAAAAACATACAAGTTCACATACACATTTCACACAGACACGGAACAACAATTTGTGAATCACACAAAGGGTTGTTCCGTGCGGGAATCGAACCCGCGACACGTTACACGGTGCACCAACCGTGCAGTCAAATAATATGACAACATAACATCACGCCTTTTATCCCCAAGGGGTAGGCAGAGGTGCTCATTATAGCACTTAATGCCGCTGTACAATGTAACACCCATATACTGGACACAATTCCAAACTCCGTGCTAATACTGAGATTTAAAAAAAACCCAGTATTACTTCGCCCGGCAGTCGCACTTGCGACCACTCGGCCAACGAGGTAGTCAATAATATCATTGTGATTATAATACATACATTTTCGCTCATCTTCCTCTTCTTGTACCTAGCGGGGCAGGTGGCGACATGTGTGATTAGTATCTCTTTACTCGAAAACTCCTTTTTACAATACTGAAAAAAAAACATCATCTAATAGTATTATATAAAGCGGAAGAGTTTTTTTTTTGTTTGTTTGTTTGGACGCGCTAATCTCCGTAACTACAAGTCTGATTTGAATAATTATTTTTGTGTTGGATAGCGCATTTATCGAGGATGGCTATAGGCTATAACACATAGGCTGTTGATGATGATAGGCTATAACACATCACGTTAAGACCAATAGGAGCTGAGCAGAGTATGTGAAACCGCGCGAAAGTAACTAGTTGACTTATAAAGCTGAAGAGTTCGTTTGAGCATTAACCTCTTATCTGCCGGTATGTGAGACACAATAGAAAACACAATGTGTCTCGCGAAGATCTACGTTCCATACCAGGGGTAAACAACTGCTTCAAAGTGGGTACTTGCCAACTAGTTAAATTCAATACTTTTTTCGAACTGTCAAAAACGACAGTTTTCTATGAATTTTGTACGAGATTGTGTATTGTGAGTGACGTCAAGTTTTTTTAGCGCCAAACAGCATACTTATTTGTTAAAAATTTCCAGGAAAAATACTAAAATTAAGTTGGTCATAAAATCAATTAATGAAAGTGTGATTATTTTTTAATATTTCATTGTATTGAACAGTCGAAATAATTTATTTTTGATGAAGGCAAGTACCCAATTGTGGGAGAGCCATGCTTCGGCATGAATGGGCCGCCTCGACTGGGGTGATACCACGGAAGAGGTAGGCATTTACATTTTGGCACTTAATGCTGCTTTACAATGTTTTTTTTTATGGTATAAGCCGGTAAACGAGCAGACGGATTTCATGATTGCATTCGTGCCGAAGCATGCTCTCCCACACTTTCAAGTATACTGTGTACTGTAACACCCACTTTTCACTATTTATGTTATGAGTCCCATGTAATAGGGTGAGTCTATTGCCATATACTGGGCACAATTCCAGACTTCGTGCTACTACTGACAATTAAAAAAAAACTTACTCCACAAATATCTCCCACCGCACCATGCGTTAGCAACCGATGCCTATTCAATTTATTCTTCATCACATATTTATCACACAGTTCACATTTGACCTTTCTCTCATCAGCTCCAGGGTGTCTGCGGACCATATGTGTGTCTATACTTCTTATCGACAATTCTTTCTGACAGAGTTTACACACAACCCTCTTTGTTTTCTTGTAACTCTCCGTTACAATGTACGGTGCTTCCGTTGCACTAGTAGATTCTGGACCATCGTTATCCGAGTAACGTTTTGTTACAATTTCTTCATTTTTAGAAGTACTGCTGGAGACATCGTTGCTTAAATCACTTCCGTTACCATTGATATCAATGTCTGAATTTTCTCTGCAATTTTTCTGATTGTTTTGAAAGTATTTTAAAGGTTGATCGTCATCATCATCATCATATTTTAAAGGGTGAATGGAATCATCATCAGTTTTGAGGCTGTCACACTCAGATTTTATTTCTTTTAAACCGACATATACTGATGGGTAACGATTGGAGTGATCTTCTGTTGTGGTGGTAGGGTATTGGTCTTCGTTGGTATTGTCATCGTCAGAATGGGATGCAGGTGTTATCTTGAGGAGTTCTGTCTCGACCTGTTTACATTGTTTCCTGAATTTCAGGGTTGTGTTGAACAGGTTCATGCATATCGTGCACATGTTTTGCGGTAGACCATCTTCGTATTTAATCTGCAATTTTAGTTTTGTTATTAAGTAAATAGGGAGAATAAATCATGTCAATCTTGCTGAAACTACTAAATGCATTTTGATGAAATTTGATATTATGAAATTAGATGATAGGATACTTTTATCTCGATTAAATGCTCCGTAACAGCTAGATAAATTAGTTATAGGTATAACTGCAAAGATAAAGATTACACATTTATTTATTTACAATATTTTGTAAATTTAGGAAAGAACTAGTCTTTGAAACAATATTATTTTTTCCATAAAATAGATAGTAATATGATGTTCCCCATATAATTTTAAGTATTTAGAAATGAATGTTTGATATCTAAACTTATCTGTGTTCAATAAATAACAAATTGCTAACATGTTGTTTGTTTATGTTATTGAAAATAAGAGATAAAGGAATACTTTAAGATATTACATTTTATAGGAAAAATTATCTGTTAAATGTAACAACACTATTACTTACTTTATATTAATTAATTTAATATACTTAGAAGGTAGCATACGGTACTTAAATGTAAATGTACAATACAGTATAATTACAATATAAGTACAATACAGTACAATACAATACAATAGTACAAATAAAAATAAATGTACAATATTTTAATATCTTTATATTTTTATTATTATCGCAATCCCGTTTTCTCCCATTCCCATATGATTTTCAGCATTTTTTCTGTCTGAAGACCCTTCTCCTAATAATAACAAATACAACAAAAAAACAATCAGTGAAATAGGTCCAGCCATTCACGCGTAATGCCGTGACCAAGGGAAAAAGGGATTAATTTTTATGGATATAGATAAAACTGGAACTACTGGTTCAATTTGAATAATTATCTTTGTGTTAGATAGTCCATTTATCGAGGAAGATAATTATAGGCTATAATACATCACGCTACGACCAATAGGAGCCGATCAGAGCGGGTGAAACCGCGCGAAAATAGCTAGTTAGAAAATAAAAAAAGATTAGGAAATATTCTTTCTGGTTACGCTTTAATTAACTATATTAAAGTGATTGTACAACAAAACCAGTCACACAAATAATTAATACATTACGTTGGCAAAATAATCGTAATCTTGCAAAAATATCGCTGAATTAGCAACTCGAAAATAAAGCAATTTAATGTGACAAAATAGGTATTTTTAAATGCAAAATGGAATATTATTTACCTGTACTCCTATACACGAGTAAATAACAGCTGAAAAGCGGTCATGGGTATCTTCAGACATAAAAATTGGATTCAGTAAACGAGACGGGTCGCCCTGCATACAAGTTCGGCATATTTTAGAAAAATCCATTGTTTCTGAATGAAATGAACTAAAATATCTACTTCAAAGATACTATGGACAGTTTTTTAACACATTTGGATCACATTTTATCAGTTTAATTGGATTCTAATAAGAATTTTCACTTTAATTAAGTAAATATTCCGGTCGCGAAATCTCCTCGACAAAATACTTATTGAAATTCTGACATTGACGTTTAGTTGAGATATTGACAGCCGCGCATTTTTTATAGTGATTGACTTTACGATATCGATTTTATATATAGAAAACCGGAAATATCTTTTTTATTTTTCTAATATGATGTTTTAATAGGACAATAATATAAAAAGCAAACGTGAAGACGGGTCGGATGTGAAGACAAAAGCCGCTCTGATATCCGTAACACTAAAGGAGCTAATTTAAGTACAGTGCCCCTTTGGGGAAGGCGGTAAGATGAGTAATTTGTTTGCATTGCTTACTTAACTGCCTTATTCCTAATTATGTGTATTTTATTTTGAATGTTTCCATTGCAATCTTTATTTTGTTTGATGGGCCGACGTTTGACCTCTAACTCGCCTGGTGGTAAGCGATGACGCGGTCTACGACGGTGCACGTCATCCCACAAGCAACCTATTCACTCGGACCTTGAAGACACCCTTCAGGAAATATAGACTCTGGCAAAGAATTCCACTCCTTAGCAGTACCCACAAGGAAGTTGATGCGAAGCGCTTCGTGCGTGTGGGTGGGACATCTACTATAAATCCTTCAATAGCCTAGTGTTTGCTGAGACTAATTTGCAAACAAATATTTGTAAACATTTGTAATACTCCGGCTAACTGGCCAGCGTTTGGGTGGTTGAAAGCACGTCTGGGTAAGAATTCGTAGGTTGAACGAAGTATTGAGTACTAAGTAATTATTGATTTTCGAAGATTCTCAATATTTGTATGATGGAAATTAGAATACGGCAGTTGACACGTAGTCAAATTCAATACTTTTATTGAAATGTCAATAACTATACTTTTCTATGAATTTTGTATTGGATCGCAACTTATGACGTCATCATATTTCTGTGTCAAATAGCATACCTTATTTCCTTAAAACTAGCGAGAAAAAATCCAAAAGTAGGTAAATTGTCAAATCAATGGATGAGAGTATGATTATTATTTAATTATTTATTGCATTGAAAAGTTGAAATAATTTATTTTAAACCTAGGAAATCAGCCAATTGTACAATGGCCAGTATATCAACCTACTCCAATCGGTCTTCATAGGATTTTCGATTCTATAAAGATAAAGATGTACTGAAGGAATTTGACTGAAAAAGATAGTTTGACATGCTGGCTAGGCCACTGTGCCCAATAAAAAGACGTTAGTCCTTACTAATATTATAAATCGGAAAGTGGGTTTGTTTGTTCAGCTTTTACGCCGTAACTACTAAACAGATTGCTTCGAATTTTCGCAGACGTAAAGTTAGAAGTCCGGATTAAATATTAGGGTACTTTTTATCCCGGAAAGATTTGATATTCCCGAGGGAAAACAAAAGTATTGGTATAGATGGCGCTGTGAGTATTGGTATATGTCACATAGGCTACTTTTTATCCTTTTGTGACGCGAGCGAAGCCGCGGGTAAAAGCTAGTTTCAAATAAATGACAAATAAATGATTTTAACATATTTTATTTCAAGCATTATGGAATACACTTTTAGCTTTCTTCTCTTTCTTCTTTTGTTCTCGTTTCCGCTTCTGCTTCTCTGTGCTTCGCAGAAGCTTCTTGATTGCATCATCTGTGTCGTCTAAATCAGCGTCAGTGGCGCCTCCTGATGAAGGTCTAATTTTCTTAGCTGGCAACTCTTCGGGTTCCGGTTTTAGCTTTGTCTTTTTGGGTTTTTCACTGTAATCGACAAAAAAAATATTTGATAAGTTTGTATAATAAATTAACGTGGTTATCGACTGCTGTGAAATGTTCGGTTCGTTTCCATTACAGATTTTATTGTTACCCAAACTAGGTGCAATACTACGGTATAGGACGCCTAAAGATATACGGATCACCTGATGGTAAGCAATCAGCGCCGCTCAAATGCACCCACAACACGAGACGAATTACACTTATGTTGCCGGCTTTATGGGCGCTGGGGAGGGGGGTATTTGGGCCTACGGTAACCTCACTCAGACGATGAAACACAATCCTTACTAATATTATAAATCGGGAAGTGAGTTTGTTTGTTTGTTCCGACTTCACGCCGTAACTACTAAACCGATTGCATTGAATTTTTGCAGACGTAAAGTTAGTAGTCTGGATTAAAAAATAGGGTACTTTTTATCCCGAAAAAATTTGATATTCTCGAGGGAAAACAAAAGTATTGGTATAGATGGCGCTGTATGTATTGGTATATGTCACATAGGCTACTTTTTATCCTTTTGTGACGCGAGCGAAGCCGCGGGTAAAAGCTAGTAACTTAACTTAGTGTTCTGTGAGGCCATGGTATCACTCCGGTAAAGACGACCTATTCGCACCGAAGCATGATAAGTCTCTTTGCTATAAAAAACTATAATTCTCTTACCCGATAGTCTCCATGTTCTCAAACAGTGTATCTAAGTCATCAGCCTCTACTCCAATCTCCTCCACTCCTATCTCCGGCTTCTCCTCCTTGACGTCATCCACTCTGCTGAGAGGAGTCGAGCTCTCAGATTGTATGAGCACGCATGACAACTTCGATGTTAGGTATTGCTAGAACAAAAAATTAGGAATAAACAACGGTAATTTTATGAATTAGAGATGTTTTAGGGTCGATGTGAATAACCGATTATAATCGAGAAGCTCGGTTTTTAATTTGACAGTAACTATTTTTTTTAAGGAGGGAAAATCATCGACCTGGGTGAGGCGGGAACAGTCATTAACTCCATTTTATCTAAGTATTGCAACTTAATACGAGAAAATAAAAACATACATGTCTAATATTTTTTCATAATCTAACTGACGGACTAATACGATTTTTAATTTTGATACCCTGGAAACTACCCAATTTCTTTTTGTCAGCGTTTCGAGAGCGTTCCGTTCACACCTTGTATTATACTCACAACAACAACCTGTAAATACCCACTGCTGAGCAAAGCCTAATCTCACACGGAATAGGTTTGAGCATTAACCACCACGCTTGCTCAATGCGGGTTGGTGATAACAAACTTATAAAAATTGTAAGCCCAAGTTTCCTCACGATGTTTTCCTTCACCGTATGTCAGTGGTGTCTAAATAATCTTAGAAAGTACATATAACTCGGAAAAAGTCACATTGGTACTTGCCGTTGGCAGATTTCGAACCCGCACTCTCATTATACTCACACTGAAATAAAATTAAAATACATACCTTATATATCAAATCTTTGCTAGCATAATCGTGTACTCGAAGTTGTCGGTCAAGACTCGAACTGACAATGAGCCGTGGTTCCTTCACTATGGCTATATCGGTGACTGCGCCGACGCAACCTTTGTAACCCTTGTCCGGTTTGCCCTTGCGCAGGTCTACTTGATGAAGCTGACCTCTTCCGAATCCTACCAGAACTTGCCTGAAAAAAGAAATATAGAAAGTTAATTTTCACTACATAGTATAAAACAAATTCGCTATCCGCCGTCTGTCTGTCCCTATGTATGCTTAGATCTTTAAAACTACGCAACGGATTTTGATGCGGTTTTTTTAATAGATAGAGTGATTCTTAAGGATGGTTTATTTGTAGAGGTATAGTACATCCATATTGCACCCGTAAGAAGCCGGGGCGGCTAGTAATTTATATAGAAATTTGTACTTGTTAACTTTTTCATTGGCCGAGTGGTCGCAAATGCGACTGCCAGGCAAGGGATCTCGATTCCCGAGACAGGCAAAGTATTACTAGGTTTTTAAAAAAAAAACAGTAGTAGCACGGAGTCTGGAGTTGTACCCGGTATATGGCAATAGGCTCACCCCCTATTACATGGGACTCATAACATAAAAAGTGAAAGGTGGGTGTTACATTTTCCAGTGGCATAATGTGCACCTCTGCCTACCCCTGCGGGGATTAAAGGCGTGATATTATGTTATGTTACATTTATAATTAATATAATAAAGCTAAAGTTTAATTGTTTGTTTGAACACATTAATCTCCAGAACTCCTGGTTTATGATGAATTTTTTTTGTGTTGGATAGTCCATTTATCGAGGAAGACAATAGGCTATAAAACATGGCGCTACGACCAATAGGAGCTGAGCAGAGCGGGTAAAGCGGCGCGAAAGAAGTAGCTAATCACACTAATATTATAAATGTGATAGTTTTTTTGTTTGGATGTTTGTCCGTCAATCATGCTGAAACTACTGAACGGATTTTGATGAATTTGGTATACAGGCAGGGTATGGGCTGACTTAGGTGATAGGATATTTATCCCGATTAAATACTCCCATGGGATACAACAGGAATCATATTGTACGCGGACGTAGTCACGGCAACAGCTAGTTAATTATATATAAATTACTGACCTTTCATCAAAACTGTTGGTGATGCAGGTGGCAGCCATCTTCTCAAAGTCTACAGCGATGACAGGCCGCCTCTGTGCACGACTGTCGTACAATCTGCGGATACAAGATTATCAAAATTGTTGTTATGTCAAATAGAATAACATAACATCACGCCTTTTATCCCCGAAGGGGTAGACAGAGGTGCACTTAATGCCACTGTACAATGTAACACCCATTTTTCACTATTTATGTTATGAGTCCCATGTAATAGGGGGTGAGCCTATTGCCATATACCGGGCACATTTCCAGACTCCGTGCTACTACTGAGATTTTTAAAAACCCAGTAATAGTTTGCCCGACCCGGGAATCGAACCCGAGACCCCTTGCCTGGCAGTCGCACTTGCGACCACTCGGCCAACGAGGCAGTTAAAATAAAGATACTAATGTCGAAATACTCAAACGCTACTCAATTTAACTTAAGGGGCCTCAATTAAACTTTGGTTCTTCATATCTAAGTATCATTTTACCTTTATTATTTAACAATATAAAAAAATACGTGTCTAATATTTTTTCATTACCTAACTGACAGACTAATTAGATTTTTAATTTTTATACCCTGTCATCATCCCTATTTTTTAAAAACGAATGTTGAATTTTATTGAATTTAGTAAACATTTGTAACAAAAGTTCAATACCTGGAAAGTACCAATGTGACTTTTTCCGAGTCATAATAATATGTACTTTCTAAGATTATTTAGACACCACTGACAAATAGTGAATGAGAACATCGTGAGGAAACCTGGGCTTATAATTTCTAATTATAAGTTTGAAATTGCCAACCCGCATTGAGCAAGCGTGGTGATTAATGCTCAAACCTTCTCCGTGTGAGAAGAGGCCTTTGGTCAGCAGTGGGCACTTATAGGCTGTGGATGAATGTATAATAGTCTCACCGAACGTATCCATGTCTAGAGCACACAGCGACCAGCCTGCCTCCCTCTTGCGGGAGGAACACGAGGTCAGTGACCCACACGGGCCTCCTCAGTTGCAACCAGTCGTGAGGGAGGTTCTTGGCTACGAATGTCGGTGAGGTCTCGCCTATACGCCATATCTTTAAATCGTTTTCTTCTCCACCTGGGAATGTGAATTTTATATTATAACTAAAAATCCTGAAAAGTGAGTGAGGTTACCGGAGGCCCAATTACCCCCTCCTCAATCCCCGTATTATCAAGAATCCTCAAATTCCTAATCCCCTAATGGTCGGTAACGCACTTGTTCCGCTTCTAGTGTTCCAGGTGTCCATCAGCGACGCCGATTGCTTACCATCAGGTGATCCGTCTGCTCGTAAAAGTTCGTTACCGACCTTTTGGGGTTTTGGGATTTGAGGGAGCGAGGAATTGGACGTCTACTCCGGTAACCTCACTCACACGACTGCACACAACGCTTCAGTTGTTTCACTATAGTTTTCTGCTCGGCCGTGATATCACTCCGGTCGAACCGGCCCATTCGTGACGAAACATGGCGACTATGAACTTATAATTAATTAACAGAAATAAATAAACAAAGAAAGGAGTGAGTCAGCGTCAACGCAAGTATTGTATAATAACTTACTAAGACTTTTTTTTAAAGGGGGAAAATCATCGAATGACTGCTCCCGCCTGGATGAGGCGGGAGGGAGTGTCAGACTCTTACTGACTAAACACCACCCCGTTCCTACTCCTGCACTTCGAGCCGGAGCCCCGGCAACCCGTTAGGTTCTCCGCGACTCCGTATCGGCATCAGCCCTATTGGGTCCCATTTATGGTGGTAACTTACTAAGACTGCCTCAATGTTAGACAGATATTGTTATTCTTAAGATAAATAAACAATTTGAATTGAATTTGAGTTTCAAGAATAAATAAAGTTATCAGATACATAAGGGCTTACCTGTAGCAAAAACAGCATCATCATCAGCGCAGACCCTCATACGATCAATTTTGCCAACATTTACAATCTCTTCTGTCTTCTTACTCCATATCTTCACGACTCCACTGGACACGGCGGCCAGCAGCTTCCTCTTACACCGGCCCAGGCCCACGACCTCGCCGGGCGCAAAGTCCGCTGTGTAGGACTTCGTGAAACCCTGGAGTGTGTTGTAGACTTGTATCTATGGAATTAATGAATGGAATTAAAATCGGTGAATAATATTTCATAACATCTTGCCCTCACCAACTCTACATTTTTTTTTATGGCATACACCGGTAAACGAGCAGACGGATCACCTGATGGTAAGCAATCGGCGTCGCCCATGGACACCTGGAACACCAGAGGCGTTACATTCGATACACATACCAAAATAACATACTTTACAATGTTTATCTTTGTCTGTCTATCTGTCTTTCTGTTTGTTTGTACTGGTTAATCTCTGGAACGGCTGGACCGATTTTGCAAGACTTTTAATGGTAGGTACCTAATAGGTAGCTGATGTACTAAGTAGTAACATAGGCTACTTTTATTTTGAAAAATGAAACAAAATAAGTTATGCTCCAAAATTCATATTCGACGCGGACGAAGTCGTGAGCAACAGTTAGTATTTAATAAATATCAAGTGTCATCAATTCAGCAAGCTTTCAGGTTCGATTTTTTGGTAGTGTTGATATTTTAAGTGTGGGAGAGTAATGCGTCGGCACGAATGGGCCGGCTCGACCCGAGTGATACCACGGCCGAGCAGAAAACCGACGTGAAGCAACACTTGCGTTGTGTTTCGTCGTGTGAGTGAGGTTACAGGAGGCCCAATTACCCTCCCCTTCCCTAATCTCCCCAACCACTGAATCCCCAACGATCCTCAAACTCCTAATCCCAAAAGGCCGGTAACGCACTTGTACCGCCTCTGGTGTTCCAGGTGTCCATGGGCCGAACGCCGTGTCCGGACGCCGATTGCTTACCATCAGATTATTTTTGTCTGTCTTATTGTCTGCTCGTTTAAAAAGATAAACAGTAGCCTATGTGGTATTCCACACCGTAATCTACCCCTGTGCCACATTTTACCACGATCCCTTCAGCTGTTTTTACATAATTTAGTAACAAACAACATGGGGTTCTTCAGGAGGGGAGTGAATAAGTTTCTTAAGGGTCGGCGAAACGCATGCAATGCCCCAAGTGTTGCAGGCGTACATAGGCCACGGTAACAGCTTACCATCAGGTGGGCCGTGTGCCTTTTGCCACCGTCATGGTATAAAAAACACAAAATTTCTCATTTATAATATTAGTGAGATAAATTAAGTACAGTTAGTATTTAAAAGTTAAGTAAATGATCAACTGACCTGTTGGTTCTTCCGCCCGATCAGTATCTCAGTCTGCTCAGCATTGCTCCACTCCATCCGAGTGATACCCTCATCTTTCTGTAGTGTCTTTATATCTACTAGATTCTCTATATATTTCTTATTGTTTTTTGTTATGTCCGTGTGGTATTTTATATCTGCAATTATAGGCATAAAAATATATTATTAATCATTGTCAACAGCCTATAAGACCCCACTACTGACCAATGGCGTCTCCTCTCACGGAGAAGGTTTGAAAATTAACAAACTTTGCACAGTCACCGGTGACCGCGACCTATTGTTCTTTAAACCGTCAAACACCAAGCGGTCACCGGTGACCGCAACCTATTGTTCTTTAATTGTGTCTATAAATATGGTACTCGACAAGTTAATTGTGTCTATAATGACGGTACTCAAAGAGTTAATCACCACGCTCGCTAATTGGGGTTACCGATTTCAAACATATAATTAGAAATTATAAGCCCAGGGGTCTTACTCTTGAATCCAATTCCATTGATTGACATTAGTATTGTGAAATTTCGTACTCTTGAGTTTCAACACTAGCGCCCATTGCATCCATATTGTGTAGATATTGAATGAACTAAACGGTATTGAGTTTGGCTTTATATTCCGTACTCTGAATGCTATAGTAACAGCTATGATAGGGGTTGTGTAGTATTGACATTGAATAAATATTGAGATTGTGCCCGTTATATGGCAATAGGTTCACCCCCTATTACATGGGACTCATAACATAAATAGTGAAAAGTGGGTGTTACATTGTACAGTGGCATAATGTACACCTCTGCCTACCCCTTTGGGGGCAAAAGGCGTGATGTTATGTAATGTTATTTATTGGATTGACATTGCGAATGGTTTCAAGAGTAAGAAGCACCCTGGTTTCTTCATGAGATTTCCCTTCACCGTTTGTCATTTTCTGTTTAAGTCCATAAAAATAATGCAAACAGAATAGTAAATGACCTAACCTATGTAGTTTCTTGCTTGTTCTTCTACATAGGAACGAGCAAATCGAGCAACTAGAGGTAGTGACTGACATATTGACACTGTTTGTTTTTAAATTGGTACTGTTTGTTTTTAAATTGTCTAATTGGTTTTATTGACATACATGGTCTTTTTTTTACAATTCATGGGTTGATGTTTGTCCACTATCTCTTGATAATTGATTGATTGATTTGAAAATTCACTTTCTTTGACCATACAAACGAAGCCAGAACAACTTGTCTGCCTGTAGGCCTTATGTATTTATTACTTTACAAACAATCATAGGTTACTTTTATGATTAATGTATACCATTGAAAAATATTGCGAAATAAATAAATGTTGATACCAAACTTATTATGCAGTACTTTGATTATAATAGCGGCGCACTACACACATATTCTGACAGTTATATTAATGAAAACTGTAATAGAATTAGTAAATTATGTTACGAAGCGTGGTTTTTGTTTACATTTTTTTACCTTTATTTTACAGTAAATAAAGACAATATTCAAGTCTAAATAGACTTAAAAGCGATGACTAGCATCTCTACTTATGCTAGAGAAAGAATGAAATATCGAAGTAAAGGTATAAAAGACAAATAACTTGCAATTTCTTTGGACAACTAAACAAATTCAATTATCCGTGTTTTTTGTAAGAAAAATGGTACTTACGTTTCAAAGAACCTATTTTACTGGCGACAAATATGTCAATTTCTTTATCTTCTATTAGTAACATTGTTATTTTTTAATATTTATTTACAATTTTAACAATATTTACGCACATCGCAGGCACGATAAACACGTGAATACAAATGTCAATTTCAAGTGACAGTTATGTCAAATTATAAATTTGACAGATTATAAAGGGTTGCCAAGAAATAAATAAAAATGCTACTCTTTTGGAGTATCTTTATCAGTTAAGTAATATGTTAAACTTGTAGTCTATTTCTAATACAATCTTATTTGTTTAAACTAAAATATACACGTTAAAATTTTTTTTGTCATTTTTTTTTATTTTTACATAAATCAAATCAAATCAAATCAAAATCATTTATTTGCCCGAACAAGGTATACAGTGGTCACATTATGATTATAGTCCCTCTTATTCTGCCCACAATTCGGGCGTGCAAAAATTTTACATGGAGTCATAAACATTAAAACTATAAAACAGGTATGTCATATTAAGTGAGAAAACAATGTCATTAAAGGTACATGTCAAAATAAAAATTACTATATAAAAAAGGAGGTTCATTATTTTCAAACATTAAAATAAAACTAACAAAACAAAAATAAAAAAAGAAATTATACCTCTAATAATACTAATGATGACATAACGTTCCGCCTAGCTGTATGCTTACGTTTAGGTGCTCCTTGTGTTTCTCCGCATTATTGTCACTGTGGAGAAAGAGTCGATGGCTTGGGACACCATGGTCTTTCTTGTTGCAGAAGTGCAGGCCGCATAACTCGCCATGCCAGCATCAACGATATCATTCGTCGTGCTCTTGCCTCAGCCGGAGTACCAGCCGTATTAGAACCTAATGGTTTGGTACGTGATGACGGCAAAAGACCAGATGGTATGTCGTTGCTGCCTTGGAAGATGGGGAGGCCTTTGGTGTGGGACGCGACGTGTGTAGACACCCTTGCGCCATCGCATCTTTTAAGCACCGCTGCATGCGTTGGTGCAGCTGCTTCCGCGGCAGAGGCCCTCAAACGGCGTAAATATTCAAATCTAGTGGGTAACTACTGTTTTGAGCCGTTTGGGGTCGAAACACTTGGGCCATGGGGTCCCAGTGCATACTCTCGTGTTTAAAGATATCGCCCGTAGGCTAATCGACTCTACACGTGGCTGGCTTTTTCTTCCACGAAACCTCTTGAACCAAATGAAGCTCCAAGCCTTAAACAAATTGCAGCGCGGAACGTGGTGTCGTCCAACAATACCTAGGTTAGACGAAGGTAAAGCAAGAAGCCATAACCCCGACTCCCACTCACCCACAGCCAAAAGGCGAGCTCGCTCTGCAGTTGAACAAGACGAGTTAAGTGTTGGGTAAATAGCCGGCTGCTTTGAGTTATTATCGATTATAATCCATAAGTGTCCATTAATAGCCTCGCAATGGATTAATGTTTTTTTTTGTTTAGTGTGAAATCTGTGGTTCTGAACATAAATTGGGTGTGTGTACGCAACGTGATTCAATGTATTGTAATTATTTTTATTTATTTTCACTTATTGTATGTGAAAAAGTGTTAGTAGTAAAATAAATGCACAATTTTTGGGATATTCAGTTTATCGGCATCGCATCCGGCTCTAGTTCAGACTATACAACAGAGCGAGGGGGACTGGGATGTTGTCTCTTCCTTCTGCGAAGCAGTCATGCTAGCAAGGAGGAGGAGGGGCGCGTGAGTGAACGAATCTCCGCACACCCCAGCTGTCATGAGAGCGCCTCTGGGCGTCGGGGATGGCATGACGATCTCCCGCCACCGTAAGCACGGGCATGCGGACGACGAGCACGGATGACTCGCCGCCTGACCAGATTTGTTGCTTCATTGGCGCGGGCCAAGCAGAGCGCCGAACGCGTACTCGTTTCGAATACTTTAAACGTAAAACAAACCCGTACTAAGGCCTCAGATCCTGACAAAGACGAAGGAGCCATCAGACCGCCACAGATGGGGCCCAATAGGGCTGATGCCATGAAAAATAAAAAAAAAATGCATGAAAAATAAATAAAAAATAGGTTAGGTAGGCCGCAAGGGGAAAGAATTATCTCCCCTCAATATTTCCCAAATAGAGACAAAGACTAGGACCGTGGAGGTTTTGTCAATTGAAGTCCAAGCAGAGATGATCATTGATGGAAGTATATATTTTAGCCATATAGGTACAGATCAATACGAGCAACACAATCGGAGAATATAAGGCCTACATAGCGGTCTAAGTTAGTAACCAGTTGAAGGCACTGAAGAACAGTGCACCGGACATCTTTGATATCGTGATATGTATTTACAGAAGCTGGGTCGGGGACAAAGACTACAACATGCTAGTAGCAGCATTGGATATATATTTTAATAGATTCCCGGTTCATCCACATTCAAATAAAAAAATAAATAAAAAAAAACCCTCCTCATTGGCACGACAGGAAAATGTGTTGCCTATGCTTATTCGATATCGAGCATTTACAAAATGCAGGTGTTCATATGCCCAGGGTACTTGCTTTATTTTTTAATTTATGTTTCTCACACACGTACCTTCCGCACGACCTAATGAAGACCCTGGTGGTGCCCGTCATTAAAAATAGCACTGGGGATGCTTCTGACATAGATAACTATAGGCCAATATCGTTGGCTACAGTAATTGCGAAGGTGTTGGACGGTGTGCTGGATAAACAGTTGAATAAACATCTGTCGCTTCACGACGCCCAGTTTGGATTTAGGGCTGGTCTGTCCACTGAACACGCTATTCTTTGTCTCAAGCACACTGTTCGATACTACACGGATAGGAAGACTCCTGTGTATGCCTGTTTTCTGGATTTATCGAGGGCCTTCGACCTAGTGTCCTATGATGTTTTATGGAAGAAGCTGTATGGTGAGACGACGGTTCCGGGTGAGGTTATTGAGCTGTTCAAGTTTTGGTATAGCCATCAAACCAATATGGTGAGGTGGGCGGGTTCGCTATCGGATCCGTATGGACTGGAGTGTGGGGTGAGGCAGGGCGGCCTGACTTCGCCGAAACTCTTCTGTCTATATGTGGATGGGCTGGTTCGTGAGCTCTGCAGCACTATGGTAGGTTGTTCAATAAACGGAACACTTGTCAACAACATTAGTTATGCCGATGATATGGTGCTTCTGGCCCCATCGATCAGCGCCCTCAGGACGCTGTTGTCGGTGTGTGAGCGATATGCCGAGGCCCAGGGTCTTAGGTATAATGCAAGGAAGAGCAAGTGTCTACTCTTCAGGGCAGGTACTAAAACCTATGATATACCACCCGTTGCACTTGCGGGGACTGCGTTGGAATGGGTCACTTCTTTTAAGTATCTGGGGCACTGGGTCACTGACACACAGACTGATAGTAAAGACATGGAGAGGGAACGTAGGGCGCTGTCAGTCAGGAGCAATATGTTGATCCGCAGGTTTGCAAAGTGTTCTCATAATGTGAAGGCTACACTTTTCAGGGCATATTGTCAATCTTTTTATACCTGCAGCCTATGGGTCGACTACACGCAGAGGGCTTACAGCGCCTTGCGAGTCCAATATAATAACGCGTACAGGGCACTGTTGAGGCTGCCTCGACACTGTAGCGCATCGGGGATGTTCGCTGATGCACGCATAGATGATTTCTACGCAATCATAAGAAAGCGTGTCGCCTCCCTGATGCAGCGGGTGCGGGGCAGCGCCAACAGTCTTCTGATGACCGTGGCGGATAGGACTGATGGCCTTATGCTGAAACACTGGACGAAGACGCAAGTGATGCCTACAAACCGTGCCCAGAAGTAGTGAAAGTCAGCAGTATTGTTGCTAAATTATCATTAGATTACATATTATGACAAATTATTTTAATTTTATATGATGAGGTTTGATGTACTAATACTAGTTTATAAGTTGTAGATGTCTTTACTAACCATATGGATTGTATTATCTGAATGAATAAATAAATTATTATTATTATTATTATTATTCCCGCACATTCACCAAATTCTATGAGGATGGAACAGAAACGCAAGAGCACTATGAAGATGACAGCCCTGTAGAGGGCGATGCAGGTGATGGAGGAAATGGAGTAGAAAAGATTCCGAAGTCCAATGATCCGACTTCTTGGTGCACACTCATACGATCCACAGACGGAGAGCTTCCGGAAAAGGTTCAGAAATTTGTGGTAAAGTCCATGTCAAATGTGTCGGACTCTAGAGAGGGAACCATGGAAGAACACTTAAAGTATTATCAACAGTTTTTCGGCTAAGTAATTTTATAATGATAATAAATAAAGATATGATTGTATGTAATGAGAGGTACGATACGTTAAAATGTAAGCTACAATGTGTAAGTTATTTTATCAGCTCCTATTACAGCGGCTACGGAAAGGATCTTTAGTACTCAAACTGATGTATATGTACATACAAAGAAAGGAAACGAAACGAGCAGGCAACGACAGGCTTTTATGTTAAGTGCTCACGCTCAAGTTTAGATTTAAATTGAAAATTTATTTACTACAAACAAAGATGATGAAAATGAAGTCTAATCTGACAGTCCTAAACGTGAAAACCATGAAGGGAAATTTTCAATCACTAAAATAACATTAACAGCAGGGTTATCATCCAAAATGGCTATTAATGGCTATTAACTGAGTTTTAATCGATTATTATCCAAATGATATTAACCGGATTATTATCATTGCCCATCTCTCACGAGTTCAATTAATTCTTCAGTACCATGGGCAGAAGATATGAAAGCCGGTAGGCTTATACTGCAAATTTTACGGAAAATACTACTATTTGTCTGTTTGAATGTATGAATGTTGTCTCACGCTCCATGTCTTACTAGGGTAGGCCTCTGCCTACTTGATGTTGTTGTAAGAAGGATCTCTCTACCAGAGATCCTTCATTCGATTCAACAACATCAATCACTTTCATATTTCCTAGTAGCGGTGTCCTAGGCACATAACTTAGCAGATTGTCGATGATGATAAGATGAGATGAGCAAAACTTAAAACACGACTTTAATTAACAGATTTATTTTCAGAGATTACTTAAT